GGTAAAGGGGAGTCTCAGCATCTTTTGGGAAGGAATCTGCTGAGTTCTGGATAGATTTGGGGTCATGAAGAGCAAGAGTCCATATTTAGACACTGACCATTTCATATTCCAATCGTTACTTTATTAACTTACTCACTTTTTAATCCATTCACTATTCATTATGAACCCATTCAAACATCTATTTGCTGTTTCTTTTCTTCTCCATTCCAAAAAGGAGCTCATATTAGCACCAATTATATGCCACACACAGAACAACAGTTTCAGAACTGTGCTGTTTCCTTCTGTAATATTTTTCCCATGTGTCCTTCTATTCAGACAGTCTATTGTTCCCACAAGGCCATCACCTTTCATCTCCTCCCTGGAAACCCCTCGGTCCTGTCAGCCATGGTCTCTTCTCTTTGAAACTCTTTCTGTATTTAGCTCTGAAACACACATTTTGCTATATAAATAGATTTTGTTCTGGCTTCGCTTGTCTGTCCAACTAAACTATACTTTGGCGATGAGGACTTAGAATATGACTTCTTAATCTCTCTAAGCCCTCAAAACAGGGCTTATTTGAGGGTAACATGTTTCTATGTGAAGGAAAGTTTCTTGATGCACTAAAACTAGGACTAATTGAGTTTTTCAGGAACACCCGTTGGAGCATGAACAGTTTAAATTACAGGTCAGCTAAGAGAAAGGCAGAAGATAAAATCTGAAAGGCAATAAAGTAGCAATTTACATTTGTTCTCACCAGAGACTAAAGGAATACATTATAACGCAGTGACAAGTTAATGTAGGAGCTTTGTAGAAAGTTGGATTACACAGACCCACTTTATTTCATGTATTTTAGGTTTCTATGACTTGTGCTGGGGTTTGCAGGTTCTTTTGATGTGAGCAGCTGCTGAGAAGCACCAATTCCAGGATCTAAAACTTGACCTCAAGACTTTTCTCTCATAAAGAGATCAAGTTCTGGAGTTCTTCAATATTAGAAGTAGATGTCACAGTCAAGATTTTCCTCTTGCTCTCACTCTGTAAGGAGGCACAGAGCGAAAAAAAAAAAAAAGGAGAGAAATTTAGTAGTTTTAAATGGAGCCCACAAAGTGCCAGAAAGAAATTAGGAAATTGATTCTTAGCATAATCATTTCATGACCCAATATAGCTTTCACCCCCATTTAGCAATATTTCCTGGTCTCCATACTTCTGTATTGCTGTTTCCTCTTTCAGTATTTACTTGTCTTCCTCTATTTCTTTATATATATATTTTTGCTAATTTCCCCCATTTAATCTCTTCCCCCATTATCAAAAAGTTTAATTTTTTTAATTAAAAGTTTTTATTTAAAAATGCTGAATGTAGCCTTTTGTGAGAAAAGATTGGGTTTGTACCCAGGGGAGGGGACCAGGTCAGAAGTTCTTTTAGAGGTTGTTCTGCTGGGTTCTGTTCTTGGAATCTGTCTGCCATTGTCTAGCATTTCTATAGTCACATCAGAAAATTCCCTTCTGGTCATTAGGGACTCCTGGAAAGAAAAACACATTAAAGGTAGGGAGTAGTTGTAATACTTATTCTATATTCATTATAATCTTGAGTCAATTCAGAGGCTCATCTGTGCACAACACATTTTTAAAATCAGCTTTCAGTTTGTCTACATATTTTTAGTCATCCACCACTATGTGGCAGGCACTGGCCTCAAGATATTGATATGAACATGCTGCATTCTCGGCTCTTGTGGATATCATAGTTATAAAGATAGAATGAAATCTGGCATGTAACCTTCCATGACTCTTCTAATTTTCACTCCATCACTCTCCCTGGGTAGAAACATCCTTTTAGTAGTGGGGGTGGTGATGAGAGGTATTATTTACTATTTGATACTGGTTTAATAACCCATCAGGTGACATCATTTTAAAAGTATGTATGGGAAGCAGGGATATTTAGTGGGAATTGATCATTCAAATAACTTAGAAGCTTGAAGCCCAGGAAGGGTCTGGACTCAGGTCATATAACTATCCTTGATTACCCTCCCTTGCATCTTCACACCCCACCCTGGACTATGAGTCTTGGATTTTGGGAAGACAGAGGATTTGTCATTCTTCTGCTGCAACATCCACAGATTTGAATATTTACCAATCAATTACTTTGATGGATGTAATTATTATATATTTTGCAGGTACTACATTATGTAATTCTTACAAACCTGTGAAGTAGATTTTTTTTTTAAGGTTTATTTATTTATGCATACAGAGCTGGGGTACAGGCCAGAGGTACAGGGACAGTGAGAGGCATCACCAGAGACAGAGTGAGGAGTAGAACAGGCAGATCAATAAAGTACACTGCTGAGAGTAGCAGCAGGCGGGTCAGAAGAGGTCTGCCACACCAATGTGGGACAGCTCCTTAGCAGGGGATCCAACTTGTGCTGCAGTGGCTTCAGGGAGCTTCATAATGCCGTGCTTTAACCCATTGCGCCAGCAGGGAGAGCCCGAAGTAGATGTTTTTATTAACCACATTTTAGAGACTCAAATATATCATGTAACTTAGCTCAAGTCATCAGATTGCTTTCCTGGTGATGAATGTCAGAGCAAAGACTGGAACCTGGCCTTCAATTCACCATGTTTTTAAACCAATACCTACATTGCTCCGCTCTGGGATTCTCCATATGGTGACCAATCTATTAAGGGCTACTTGTCATTACTGATGGAGTTGATATAAACTCACTGGGTATTCTTATACATGGGTGTTCCTCTTTCAGTTTGGTTCAATAAAGTTTCAGAGTTGGTTCTAGACAAGGCTCTGTGGGACCATATGAAGTTGACAAGAACTTGATAGGTCCTCCATAAAATCCAGATCAAAAGAGAGGAGGGCTAGAACTCAGTGACTTTCAATGCAGCAGCACCACAAAGCATTGTCTTATGAAAGGTTTTTTGATTCATTCATTCAACAAGTGTTTTCTCTGGTAAGAGAAATCCACAGCCTATCCTGTAGAGCAAGAGACAGGCAAGCAAACCAATAATTCAAATATTGAACCTCGTTTTCCATGTATTTTCTAATAATCAAAATCAGTCAACAAATTATTTGTATTGCCTCTACTAGACATTAAATTAGGTTTCTTTTAACCTAATAAGTAATAAATTTAAAAATTAATCCAAGAGAGTAACAATGGATCCATCTAATACATTCTTTCAAATTCTGGTATCACATTTTTTGGTATCACTTTCATTTTTTTTCAGAAGTCCAGGGTATCTCCATTGCACCTTGTAAACCAGTATTAATGCAATAAAACATATTTTTAAAAATTCAATGTCTAAAAAGTTATTTTTTCTCCCAAAAGATAACATCTGCATATACAATTCACAAAATTTACCGAGCATGAGATTTACTACTTAGCATAGCAAAAAATTTTCCCCTAATGAAAGATTCATTGTCCCTTAAAAAGCATATAACAGTTCATCAGTGATGAAATTTAAGGCTCTCCAGAGTTACAGAGCAGTTAATTAGAATGATGTGCCACGATCATCAAAGTGGGATTCAGGCCCACCTTTTTTTTTCTGGAACTAGCCCACAAGGAAGGGACCAGACCATCAGTATTCCAGGAGGTGGAGGTATAGGGCTTTGTACAAAGCAGAGGAGGTGGGCATGG